AGCCTCTTCTGGGTCTCCCACTCGGGCGCAGGGTCCCAAAGCTTTGGGCCATCCTCGACTGCTTTCCTGGGCCACGGGCAGGGAGCTGGATGGGAAGCTGGGCTGCTGGGATTAGAACTGGCGCCCACATGGGATCCTGGGCGTGCAAGGCAAGGACCTTAACCACTTGCGCCACTGTGCCAGCTCGACTATTTCCTTTTGTAATGATCTTAAATTTCTTCAGAAATCAATTTTATCACTCACATCCCTTTGGCTTTTCATTTTTTTTTTTCCATCTCTACTGCCAGGGCAAATGGTACCCCTCCATCAATCCTTCCCATCGTTTTCTTTTTTTTTTTTTTGGCCAACCCTTAAACAAGTGACTTAATCTTTCTGTGCTTCACCTTTTGTACACCCACCAGTGTGGTGACAAAGCAACCTAATCTGCCCTGTGGTGCTGGCATCCCATATAGGTACTGGTTCTAGTCCTGGCTGCTCTACTTCTGATCCAGCTCCCTGCCCGTGGCCTGAGAAAGCAGTGGAGGATGGCCCTAGTCCTTGGCACCCTGCATGGATGAGAGAGACCCAGAAGAACTGACTCCCAGCTTTGGATCAGCTCATTCCTGGTTATTACAGCCATTTGGTGAGTGAACAAGTAGATGGAAGACTCTCTCTCTCAAAATCTACCTTTAAAATATACAAAAAAAAAAAATCTAAAAAAAAAAATGCTCTTTCAACAATAAGCAGAGATGAGAGAAAATTCCTGTAAGGCCTATTGTAGCATCTTGTTAAGGATTTTAAAAGAATTCAAGGGAGACTCATGGGTATGGGTTTGGGTTTGGTGTTGGTTCCTTTGTCATTGTACTTTTACCTTTTACTTATTTCGAAGACTATACAACTTCTCAGGAGCCTGTGAAAGAGGGCCCCATGGATGTCACTTTAAGAGAAGGGATGCTATGGTGCCCCACACCTGTCTGAGCCTAGTCCTGCCCCTCCCATCTGTCCTATTCCACAGGGCCATCCTAGGGCATGCGTTTCTCTGTGGGCAGCTGGACATGTTGAGGCTTCCACAAGTTGGATCAGTGAGGGAAGCCATCCTGATCCTAGCCCCACCTCACTCTGAACTCAGACTCTATGTTCCCTCTTGATGCTAACCATTCCAAGCAGCTTTTGAGTTTCGTGGCTCATTTTGGCCTCTCAGCTCTATCCGTTTATCCCTGTTACTCATTGCTCTGAGGCAAAACTCTGCTGCTTTGATCATCTAAGTTGCTTTCCTCTGCTCTCATCGTCATTTGTTTCCTGTATCTTGGGCACGGAGGTAATCATCCCTCATGAAATGAGTTGTAGTTTGTTACTGAAATGGTTCTGCCTAAATATTAAAAATGAATTTTACTAAGTCTTTTTTTTTTCAAACAGCAATGTTAGAAATTATCTCATTATGGAAAACATTACTTTAATGCTGCCTGACTCAGTGTGCCTAATGCCATAAAGAAGCAACAATTTGCCCAGAAAAAAAAAAAAACTATCAGAAGGCAGGTTAATGGCTAATCTTCAGTCATTCATTCAGCTACCAGTTACTTAGCATCTATGTGCCAGAGGCTGTCAGGCCCTGAGAATACCAAAATGAGTAGAGCATTTGTGATCCCCTCAAAAAGTTGGAATGACAGTAAGCTTAACAGAAAATCACCATAACTAGGAGGGAACCACAAGCAGACAGATAGAGCAAAGATGTGGATGGGGAGGATTCAGGTGAGGCCACATTACTCACTGCTACAGCTCAGGAAATCTCTAACATACCCTCTGAGACATCCGCAACTCAACTGCTGGTTACAAATCACTTAACTGCGTGGCATGAGAAGGCAATGAGAAACAGAATCAACTCACTGGCCAGACTAAAGGATGCTGCAGAAAAGTCCATCCCAAAGGTGACTATTGCATGGATCTAACATTAGTACCCTTAAAAAGGCAGGAGAATTTCATACTTGCCCACAATGATGCCCAGGTCTTTGTAGCTCACAGACCAGGGTTAAGATCATGACTTCAGGGTGCTGTCAGAGAGAAGAGCCCATTCTTGGTTGAAGTGTTTTGCCAAGCATCAGAACAGGCCAATCACTGGGCAGGAAAGCAAGGATCCTGCACAGGAAGCCTGAGGTGATGGAGTTCATTCTCGGGAGTCCCAAGAACCTCTATCTCCCACCAGCTCTGCCCACTTTAGAAGGTCATCCCTCTTTTACTGCTCAGCTTGCTGCTCTGTGCAATGGGGATGGTAAGAGTTCCTGTCTCTATGCTTAACACAGAGTGGGACACCTCACAAATAGTGAATGTTGTGTTTGATGAAGGTATGGTTCACAGATGTACAGCACAATTGGTTAAACGACATATTTTTAACAGTGTCAGTAAAAATGATTTTAAGAAAATAGCTTTTCCTGTCTTTTTAAGATCATTTCCGGGCCCGGCACGATGGCACAGTGGTTAAGGTCCTCGCCTTGCACGCCCGGGATCCCATATGGGTGCCGGTTCTAATCCCAGCAGCCCAGCTTCCCATCCATCCCTGTGGCCTGGGAAAGCAGTCGAGGATGGCCCAAAGCTTTGGGACCCTGCACCCGTGTGGGAGACCCAGAAGAGGCTCCTGGCTTCGGATCGGCATAGCATTGGCCATTGCACTCACTTGGGGAGTGAATCATTGGACGGAAGATCTTCCCTTTCTCTCTCTCCTCTCTGTATATCCGTCTTTCCAATAAAAATAAAATGAATCTTTAAAAAAAATCATTTCCTCCCATGTTCCTGACTCTATGCAGGTTCCCTGAGGGCTTCAGACACCTTCTCCCCTCTCCATGCATCCATCCATTCTGCCTGTATCAGTCTTGGGCCACATTTGTCCCTGGTGGCACCTGCCTGACCTGGGATTCTACTCCATCAGCTACTGAGGGTGTTTTAAGTGTGCCCTTACCTTTCTCTGCTTCATATTTTGTGTTTCATTCAAAGATTTGAGAAGGTAGAATGATAGAGACAGAAAAACAGATCTTCCATCCATTGGTTCATTCCAAATGGCCACACGGACTGGGACTGAGCCAGGAACTCCATTAGGTCTCTCACATGGATGACATGGCCAACCATCATTTGCTGCTGTCCTGGGTGCATTAGCAGTGAGTTGGAGTGGAAGTGGAGCAGCTGGGACTTGGACCAGTGCTCAAACAGGGTATGCAGGCATTTTAAGTGCTGGCCTAACATGCTGCACATCAGTAGCAGCCTCTCTGCATCCAACTGTGTGAGCACTCGATATCTGAGTTTTACTTGGTTATTGGCTCCAAAGGCAAGCACTAGAGTGAGACGGAATAAGATAGTGAAAAAGACAAAGCCTGGCTTTCTTAGAAATAGTGAATGGAAGCCCTGCCGTGTCACTGGGAATTCATTTCCCCACTCTGTGGACCTTGGTTTCCTGTCCTGCAAAATGCATGTAGATCGGTCATTTGACATCCTCCAGTCAAGACCTTTAAGACTTGGTGAAGAGCTCTGCTTGTTCCTTTCTAAATAGTTCTGCTGCATTAGGGTTAATGTGTGTGTATAGGAGTCACACTAGCAGATCCAACGACATTGGCTCTAATCAGTCCATTTGCTGGCTGTGTGGTTGGCTGCTTTTGAAATGTCCTGCTAGCATTTGGGGAAACTTTAAGTTGGAGATCTGTCTGTGTCTCTCTAGTGCTCTAAAGAAATAACCTGAAATCTTTTATCCCAGATCAAATAAATTGGAACCTATACGGCAGTATCTGGACATTCACGTTATATATGTATATTTGAATATGTGTGTATATAATATTATATATATATAATAACTTAAAGATTTATTTTTATTGGAAAGGCAGATTAGATATACAGAGAGAAGGAGAGACATTAAGATCTTCCATCCTCTGTTTTACTCCCCAAGTAGCTATTGCAGCCAAAACTCGGCACATCCAAAGCCAGGAACCAGGACCTTCTTCCAGGTCTCTCACATGTATGCAGAGTCCCAAGGCTTTGGGCATCCTCTGCTCCTTTCCCAGGCCATAACCAGGGAGCTGGATGAGAAGTGGAGCAGCTGGAACATGCACCAGCATCCATATGGAATCCTGGTACTTGCAAAGTGAGGATTTAGGCAATTGAGGCCCAGGATTATATTTTCAACCTTTCCACACCACCAGAAAAAATACAAAACATATTGGATCCATAATGCTGAAAACCTTGGTTGTCACTTGGTTCTCATCCCTCCAATTCCCATACTTTAGGGTACAATACAGTACCATGTACTGAAATTGAGGACAATAAATCTGGATGTTGGGATGTGTGCCTAAAGCAGCACAGTCAAGAATGTTCACTGTAGCTTTAGCTAGAAATAGTAAAAATCTGGAAACCATTCAGTGGCAGACAGAAAATGTGGCAATGTGTTTCTAGATTGGAATGCCACGCTCCACTTGATAGTGGAGTTTCACACTGCAATGAAAGGCAGTGAGCCAGAGCCTTAGGCGCTAAGATGGGGAAGGGTCCTTATTTCCCTGAACCTAGACCTACTAGATCTGCCTCCTTGGGACCTAGCAGGCTGTTTTTACTTTGATAGGCATGTGGTCTGGGAGCAGAGGGTTCCTGGATGTCTCCTCACACTCCTGGCATCAACAAATCTGGACTGTACAGCACTGAAGTGTCCTGCTAAAGGTAGGATTCATTTTATCTATCGCAAGGAAGAAACTTCCTTATGGTATAGAAATCTTGTAAGAATTTGGCAATACTGTTGCCTGTCGGTACCTGGTTTATAATCCAGAAGTTGCAGGCTCTGATAGAACCTTAGCCAAGGTCCCTGGATTGCTTTTACAGAGGTAAAAAGTCAGGTGCCTTATTCCCACCATCATTGTTTCTCCTTGTCTACACAGAACAGCAGATCTGTTAGAAATGCAGATATCACTGTGAGCTCAGGTATCAAACTTGTTCATTTTCTGGCCTTTCTAGGTGGCTGACAAATGTGTATTTTAGGAAAGGGCCTTGGAACTTACCTGGTCCTAGTTTGGCCACTGCATAGAGGAGGTCATAATTGAGGACAGGGGTGGCATCGCTGATGGGCTGCCAGCCGACAGGAGGAGATGAAGGGGGTGAGATGAGAAACTGTTTGGCAGGCTGCGGGGGAGCCAGATGCAGCTTGTCTCCATCTGTCTCTGGAGTCTGAACCTAGAAAAGAGACATTTTTTATGGCTTCGGATAGGCCATGTTGCCTTCTCAGACATGGAATTTCAACCTCAGTCTGTGACAGGGTGAGCCAATAAACTAGACCATCATAATATTTACTGCTCATGCCATGTACCTAATTATCTTACCATGTACCATGTACCTAATTATCCTTATGACAGTGACTTTCAACTGGTAGCATGAAGCACAATCATGTGGAAAGCTCACCCAAACAGACACTGCTGGGCCCCACTCCCAGCATTCCTGATTCAGGCGACCCTGACATTTGCACTTTGAATAGACTCCTTGGTGATGCTTCTGTGGCTAGTCCACGGTCTCACCACAAATCAGCAAAAACAGTTCCCTCTCTGCCCACCTGTCCTTTCCATTTGGGGGAAATTCATATGATACAACAAAAATGATTTTAGCAATTCAGTGGCATTTAGCACATTCCCTGGGGTGTGCAGTTGTTACCTTTACCCAGTTCCAGGCCATTTTTGACCTTCCTGGATGAAACACATTACTCCTTGAACAGTTACTGCCATTCCCACCTCCCACTAGCCCCAGACATCCACAGTATTTTCTGTCTCTATGGATATGCCCATCCTGTATATTTCATGTAAATGCAACCATATGCTGTAACATCCATCCATATTTTATCCCTTTGTATGACTAATATTCATTGTGTAGATATAATGCAAGCAGTTTAGTCATTTGTAGATAGACGTTTGGGTTGTTGACCTTGTATGTATTGTTAATCTTTCTATAAACATGAGTGTACACCTAGTCATTTGAGTCTGTCTTCAATACCTGGTAGAATTGTTAAGTCAGATAACAATGCTTAGGTTTTTCTTTTAATATTTTATTTTTATTGGAAAGTCCAATATACAGGAAGGAGGAGAGATGGAGAGGAAGATATACTGTCTGACGATTCATGCTCCAAGTGGCCACAACAGCCGGAGCTGAACTGATCCAAATCCAGGAGCCTGGAACCTCCTTTGGGTCTCCCACACCGGAGCAGGGTCCCAAGGCTTTGGGCTGTCCTCAATTGCTTTCCCAGGCCACAAGCAGGGAGCTGGATGGGAAATGGGACCACCAGGATTAGAACCAGTGCCCATATGGGATCCTGGCATGTGTAAGGTGAGGACTTTAGCTGCTAGGCTATTGCTCCGAGCCCAATGCTTAGTTTTTTGAGGAATGAATTTATGTTTCAGTATCTGAGGCAAGTGAGGTTTGTTCAAGTCACACAAATTAGTAGTGGTGATGAGATTTGAACATGGGTCTAAGGTAGAAAGGTATTTTATACCTTGCCATCTGTATGGATTGAAACCATACTTATAAATGACTTAAAAGATGGATTAAGGGGTGCTAGTACTGTGGCATAGTAAGCTAGGCCTCACCTTTCAGTGCCAGCATCCTATATGGTCACCATTTCCTGTCCCAGCTGCTCCACTTCCAATCCAGCTCCCTGTTTTTGGCCTTGGAAAGCAGTGGAGGATAGCTCAAGTCCTCGGGCCTTCCTCTCACATGAGAGACCTGGAAGATGCTCCTGGCTTTGGATTGGCTCACAAATGGCTATTGCAGCCATTTGGGGAATGAACCAACAGATGGAACATTTCTCTGTGAGCCTCTCCTTCTCTCTGTAACTGACTTTCACATCAAAGTGAAAACAAAAAATCTTTATAGAAAGAGATGGATTGATAACTACTAATGCACTGAGTGATCTGGTGGAATATCACGGATACTGATTTCCCATTGTTGTGGGCTTCATAGGCATTGCCGAGAACTACCCATTGCTTGGTGGGATAGCTAGAATTTATCTTTGGTTGAAACAAAACAGAAAATTAATTTCCATATATCTGGATTTTTGTCATGGACAGGAATCAGTGGAGAGGTTTATAGGCCACTAAATGTAACTATAAGCCTGAATGGGAGTGTATAGAGTTGTGGTTAGGTACTTTACTACCCAGCAACTCAATCTTTACAGCAACTGTCTGGGGCTAGAAAATATACTCATCCCTGTTAGACCGATGAGAACACTGAGCTCCAGTAAGGTTATGTAACGTGCCCTGATTAGAGCCCAGTTTGTCAGTTCTCAGATTGCTTTCTAAAACCCCCAGGCTGTCCCCTTCTAGGGATCATGGCATGCGTCTATTTGTCAGTGAACTAATTATAGACCACCAGCCAGTCTGAAAGAAAGAGGATCCTTTGACATTTTTAGGAGACAAAGAATGATGCAGAGAAAAAGCATTAACCCTGCTGAAGGATTGGCTTACCTGTGCAAAGTAGAGCTTTAATTTTTTCCCTCTGAATTGGGTTTCGTGTAGCTCTATCCTGGCTCGGGCTGCCGATTTAGGGTTGCTGAAGTTTATTCGGACTCGTCTGAAGCTCTTAAATAGTTGGAAAGTCACACAGTCATCATAAGCCTGGAACAGCCCCTCAAACTTCTCCTGGTAGAGACAGACACAAGCCAACATGCATGGGTCAAACAGAAGCCTAAATGAATAGACTGTTTATAACATTAAGCTCAGATAGATTCCCAGTAATGCACTTTTCACCTCTTGGCCTGCTGTCAGGTTCTAACCAGGCCTGTGGATTTATTTTAAAAAAAGCTGAGTTCAGGAGTCTGCAGAGCATGAGTGGATCAAGTTTAAAGTGCAAGAAACACTGACAGCTGCACAAAATGTGAAGTGTGTGTGTGTGTGTGTGTTCCTGGGGACAGTGATCAGAACTGTCACATCACATTCTCAAGGGATCCATCTTCAAAACATTAGACCTACTGAAGAAATCACATGGTAAGTATTATTAGCAATTACCAATCTTGGGTCATTTTCCTGTCTGTAAATATGGGATCTCATCAGCGCCATGAGATTAATCCTAGTCGATGAAACTCAGGTAGCCACCAGGGAAGAAGGCTTGGGTAAAATTTCTCCTCCTCTGATACTTCACTTGTCAGCAATAGGATGTTCCCACCCTGGACCCCTGAGTGGCCATGTGCGGCAGAAAGACATTTCCCCTACTTCTACCCCATCCTCCAGCCAGCTTCATCTTGGAAAAAATAATCCTCTGTTGCAACACAGCACTGAAACTTGTAGATTAATTTATGCCTATGGCATAGCCAATATCATAAAAATACAGTGTTATCCAGTGAAAATTTCAGTTCCATAGTGTAAAGATCTATTACATACTCCCTTTGTATAGGGATAGTCGCTCTTGAGGCTATCCAGGAATATAGAGATGAGTATCACAACGATGCTCCATGACCAAACAATGTACAATGACAGGCAGACACAGACGAAAGAAAACTCCGAAGGTATAAAGGGAAAATGAGAGAGAAAATATCTTTTTTTAATAATCTCAAACCTTCATGAGCTCTTAACCTTGACAAAATTTTCTGAGCCTGATGTTGTGGCATAATGAGTTAAAGCATTACTTATGACAAAAAACATCTCATAGTGGGGGATAAATTCAAGTCCTGGCTGCTCCACTTCTGATCAAGCTTCCTGCATATATACCAAGGACAATAGCAGATGACAGTCCAATATCAAGTCCAAGTCTTAGGCTTTGCAGAGGGGTGACTGTAGATGGCCTACATGCTTCATCCTTCCGGAGCCTGGCATGCAGCACAGGCTGGTCACAGGTGTTTTCTTCACTTCAGTTGGACAAAGAGCTCCAGGCCCCTCCTACCATCAAGCTGAAGTGGGCCACTGACATAAACCTATTTAATCCCCTGTTTGGGGATTAGTCCAACAAGCAAAAGTTGCTGTTGCGTCAAGTCAGTGGTACAGCCCCGAGCTCAGCTGCCGAGGCTTTTGTTGGAGTGTGAAATTTATGCTGATAATAACAACAGTTGATATTTACTTGACACATCTTCTCTGTAGAGGGCCTTTAGGAACTTGAAATAATTGTGGGTGACAGCTGGCCAAGACTTGGGAACTTAATGGCTATCTATATTTTTCTTTTGATGAGTGGTATTTTGTCCGTGAAGGGAATAGGATACCAGCCCAAACTGGTTAGAGGCACCATGAGCGAACCAGATGTACCCTTAGGTGAAACAGCAATGTGAAAAGAGGGACCTGCAGGGATATCAAAGGAATCTGTATCAATGGCCAATTCCACCTGCCGTCACAGCAAATCTATTGCTCTGGTGCCCAGATTCATACCAGGCACACAGCTATGTTTTGCCACCCTCAGGCTGCTGGTTTTCTCCAGTTTGTTACCTTACAAATCCAACTAATCCTTCACTGCCTGCATAGTTCACTTCCATTGTAGCCACTGTTTTAAATCGAGTCCTATAGCAACCATCTCTAGCTCTTCTGTTTCTCTCCACTTCTTGGTTTCTCTCCTGCCATTTTTTTCATTAAAAAAATTATATAAAGGGAACAATACTCTTAAATTCTGAGAATCCTAAAGATTGCTACCATGCATTTTAGATTTCAGTGTCACTGCACTAGAAATCAAAATTTTAATTTTTCTCACATGAAAAAAAGATTTAATGAGAAGATCAGTGATTTACATTTTGGTAAGTCTCTTAATTTCTGATATCTAATCTGTTGCACTATTTTTTGATTTTGAGTAAAGGGTACATACAAAAGCTGGCCATATCAGAGTATGTAGCTGGAAGAGTAGTTAATAGCTTTTCAAGTAATTATGAATGTTCTTTGCAGGATACTTTGAAAAGATTGTTGTATTTTGGCAAAGTATCCTGCAATGTTGAATCTGGAGCCATTATCAAATATCATTTTATTTGATTAGTTAGACTCATTTGTCTGTTTTGCCCTTTGAAGGGATTTTTTAGCAATGCACATTGATCATTTTGAAAATATTGGGCCTTATACAATTTAAAAAATCTGTTTCAGTAGCATTTCTAGCTATCTTATCAAAAAGTCTTTTAGATGGTGCAGAGTTCTCAAATGTGCATTATTGCGTTCAGTTTGCACTATAAATAAACACTGCTGTTTACGTTCATCGAAGTGACTGACTTACCTCATTTACTTTGGAGAGACATTCTGCTTGAAATCTACATTTGCATCACTCTAATTTGCCTGTCAGTTGTTCTTTCACAACATAATGGTGTCCCAGGAAGAAACACAGACCCCAACTCTGGAGAATGTTTGAGTCAAATGTTCTGTTCAGGCCCCAGGTGCTAATGTTTATTCCCCATTTTGTTGTTCAGAATATTTAAAATGCATGTGCTCAATGATAGTTCATAAAATTAATAGTTTTTACTCTTCCACCAAGAACATGTTTGAGGAAATTTGACGTTCCTTTTTTTCTTTTTCTGGTTATTTTTAACCAAATGTGTACCTGTGTAGAAAGCCAGTGCACTAATTCAGAAGTTTCAGTAATTCTAACCAGCACTGCTTTGTGGTATAGACAGCAACATAGGCAGAAATGCAAGCAATGCCTTACTATTATTGAGAGAATAGTTTGCACTCCATGGGAACTGTTTTTTGGAAGACTTCCCCCCACCCACCTTACCACCATTAATTTGTGAATGTCACTTTGGGAATGGCTATAGTATAGGAATGCAGAAAAAGTAAGGGTTGGCCTGGGACAGAGACACGAGGTCTGGGGAGAACCTTAAGGATGGATACCAGCTAACCAACAGCTATCATTCAAGGACATGTGAAGAATGTGGTACTGAATGCAGCAGTGTGGTCAAATGAGATGATGGAGAGATGCCCTTGGCAACTGTAAACATACTGCTGGCCTTACTGAGGGCGGTCTGTGAAAATTCAGGAGATGAAATGAAAGCTAGATGGAAAGTCAGGGTCATATGAGGAGTTTCAGTAGGTGTAGAAACGTTGGTTTAAAAAAATGAAACTACTTGGCCTGGCGTGGTAGCCTAGTGGCTAGACTCCTCACCTTAGACACACCAGGATCCCGTATGGGTGCTGGTTCTAACCCTGGTCAGCCACACATCCCTTCTGGCTCCCTGCTTGTGGCCTGGGAAAGCAGTCAAGGAAGGCCCAAATGCCTTGGGACCCCGCATCCACATGGGAGACCCAGAGGAAGCTCCTGGCTTCTGACCTCAGATTGGCCCAGCTGTGGTCACTGCAGTCACTTAAGGAATGAATCATCAGATCTTCCTCTCTGACTCTCCAATAACAATGAATAAATACTTATCACTTGTTTTAAATATTTTAAAATAAGACAGGCAAGGGGTGATGGCTGGGTGGTAGAGAGCTATTCTTGAAAGGCAGGGTTGGCTGAGTTTGGAAGCCAAACAAAATGACTCTTGTCTAGCATGAAGTGGGAGGTCCTCATTCTGAGAAGATGGAGTTTTGGGGTTAGAGGAACATAAAGCAGAGACAGATGCTGTGGAAGAGAGTCGGGTGTGGGGCGCATTTAAAAGTAAGTGCTATGGATTGAATTGAGTCTCCTCAAAAATGTTAACATGCAAACTCTTAGTACCTCAGAATGTGGCCTGATTTGTAGACAGGATATTTGTAGAGGCAATTAAGATGAGGTTATACTGCAGTGAGGTAGGATTCATCCAATATGACATCGTTACATAAAAATATCATGTGAAAACAGACATGGGGAGCATGGCTTATGGCAACTGAGGACGGAATGATGCATCTACAAGTGCAGAAATACCAAATACTGCCAGCAGATCACCAGAAGCTAGGAAGAGGCGAGGCAAGACTCTCATACAGGATTCAGAGAGCATGATACCACCTGCCTGTTGAGCTTCTACTCTCCATAACTGTGAAAGAATATACTCCGTTGTTTGAAGTCACTGGATTAGTGGGAGCTTTGCTACAACAGTCCTAGGAATTGACATAGAAGTCACAAAGCATTAAGAAGCTGAATTTGAGAACGATGCCATTTTACATACCAGGAGAGAAGGGAGTACATATCTGGCTTATTCTATGGTAGGGTGTTAGGTGTAAGGGGTATGTGTATGTATGTAGGGAGAGGCTGGTATAGGAATCCAGGAAAGTCTGGCAAGCAGGAGTTATCAACTCAGAGTTTATGAGTGAAGAAGCAGCTGGTAGAGTCTCACTTGACTGGAAGAATAGGGAGTATTCTTGATTACTTGAGTGGGGTTGACAAAGTGGGATACACAGAATGATAAAACATCTGGACCCAGAAGGCAATTTTCTGTTTAAGGTGTCCTAAGCTTTTCAGCATTAGGTATTCTGAGATCCAGCATCAGTCATGGAGTTTCACAAACGACGAGCTGATGACAGCAACAGAGATCAAAGAGGAGGCTGGTTGCCAAATGAGGATGACAGGGAACAGCAGGGGGCAGCCATGTCAGGAGATGAGTCACAGCAGAAGTCAGGAAGAGTGCCCTGAGGGGGGAAGCATGAAGTGCAACTGGGCACCCAGGCTTCCTAGAGAAGTTGCTCCATTAGAAGTGGCGGGACACGGTCTAGAAGCAAGGAGGAGGGACTTTGCACCTTTGTACCATAGCTTTGAGCTGAGGGGGAACTTGAGA